AACTTCATAATAATCAAAGACCTTTCAACCAGAACCCTGATAATGTTTGATGTTGTTATGATTGGTTTCATAAGACGGGGATTTTAAGCTTCGAGGCTCCAAATCTGACCTTTGGCATTTTGTCTTGTTGACACTTCATTATCTTCTGTGTCGAACTTGGCAGTGAGCAGCAGAAAGACGATTTATAATGTATTATGAATAATAAAAACAAATGACGCTGTGCAGAAAAGCAGGACCATATGGCTTTGTCTTTGTTTTGCTTGTGCATATTGACTCGTTACACACATTAATGAGGCATGGAGCAGCTGAACGTAGGGGGTTTCTCTGGTCGGGGCTAAAGAGAACGTATTAGACTTGCATTGATCAGGCGGTCAGATGCAGTGCCCTAAATGAATATTAATGTTGTCTCTCCTAGCTTGATGTGCTAATAAGCATCTCAAGATCTTATGTAACAACATCTATGCCATAACAAACAGTTTACATACTGTATTTCTGTTGCTGGCCATAAAACTAAAACACTACTAATGTCCTGTTTTTCACTCTTATAGATGTTTGTCATTCATTTACTCAGATTCTACCACTTCATCCTTCTCAGGATCACAGGGGTAGCTGGAGTCAGTGGTTGTTCTAGGGTAAAACACGTGTCAAACTCAAGGCCTGGGGGCCAAATTGGGCCCTCCAAGATGTCCTGTGTGGCCCGTGGCAGTTTATTACCTTTTTTGTTCCAAAGACTGGTCAGCCAGTCCCACCCGTTTCTACAGACCGGTACCAAGGTGCTGAGCATTGAAGGATCATTACATTTTCAAAATAATATTTCTTTTAGACTTTATTCTGTTTGTATCAGAGTCTGAATGACCTATTATTTAAAAATATTGTCAGAATATCTTCAAATAATGAAGTAAATTGACATGAATGAAGTCAATTAGTAAAAAATAAGTACATTTTTTCACCATGTCCCACTGCGGCCCAGTACCAAATGACCTATGAACTGGTAATGGTCCGTGGACCGGGGGTTGGGGACCCCTGATATATACAGTCTTCCATTTGCAACCGGCCCTTCAAGGGGAACTGTATGTGGCCCAGTTGCTACTCTGCATTTAAACTAATTCAAATATTTCTGCACATTGAAACTACTGTAGAACGGGGTATTGTGTAAAGATTTTTTCCGTGATTAATTACATAATTTTCAGTGCTTAATTACCATCAAGTGCATTGTTACATGTTAAATTTATCATTTATTCAAAGTATGGGCATACGTCATGGGGTACGTGCAGTTTGCTAGTCCATTTCCAGTGTTTCTACAGACGAACAACTTTTCACATGCACATTCATAACATGTTTCATATGCAGCAGATGGAGTGAGACGATCTGCTGTGCTTTCTCTTTTATTGGCCCTTTAACCATGGAGAGCCTCGTAACATGCTTCATGACAGTTCAGTAAATAGCCTGTTGTCGAGAGGGAGCTAAAGACTGCTGGAAAAAAAAAAATCCTAGCCTGCATCTGCCCTTCGTGGAGGACACTGCCACCACAGCAGAGCAGCCAACATGAATAAATCCTCAACTAATCACTGGTCACCACCTCTATAAACTGCCACTGTTCAGCATTCAAGGTTGTCCAGGAAACCACTGTGTTCAGGGAACATATGCTCCAAAATAAAATTCAATATTGGAATGTAGTTTCAATAACCTGGATAAATAACCAGACGTTCTCTGCTGGGTTTGAAAGAAGCTCAGAAAACTTTATGGGAAAAATTAGGCTTTTTCCTGTGGAAATAAGGACATTTTAGTAAATGATGGTCCTTTCAGATCTGTTCACTGTATTTCTAAGACGATGTAACAAAGATATTTGTAGGATTCTTACTAAAGGGTAACTAACATACAGTTTTAATTACTTTTATTCAGAGTAACCCAAAAATATCTTCATAAAGGTATTACTTTTATGCTAGACTTTCTTTCTTTTTAAACAACCTCAACAACTTTCCATCCAGGCTATTGCAGGAATAATTGTTTAAGTCTGGGTATCTGGTACTTGACTATAGCTGTACATGCAGTACAGCTATAGTAGAGGTAATAAGAGAGAGAGTTGGAGTGCACCCTCTTAACTGACCTGCGATTGATTTCAACACCATGGTGCTCCCTAATTAAAGAAATCAGATCAATTATATTTAGATAGCTACATTCACAGACGACGCCTCGCCTCAGTGGACCGTGTGTTCTGGGTCAGCTGTCTTTGGTCACAGAGTCACAGGAAAACACCGCGAAAATATATTACATGAAAAACAGTTGTGGACAAGACCTTTAGAAGACAGATGTGACTTCACCAATGAATAGATACTCAAATGGTGTCATGTGACCAAACAAACACAACCAACAAATGCTGTGGGGATGCTGTGGCTTCAGAGTGCAGGTGGAATGTGTGTTATTGAGTACCATTAGAAGAGGAACGTATGCTTGTTCCTTTTGAGGTTTGTCAATGTCTACTCAACATAAGAGAAGAAGAATCATTTATCCCTGCAGAGTGCAGTACAGTCTCAAACAGAGATTAGAGCAGGTCAGATGATTTATTGTTTTTTGCTAAATGGTTGCTATCATTAGTGACTGATAATGAACAAAAAGCTCACGCTGCCCACTGGACCTTTGTGGTGTCGTTTGCTGCCTGAGCACTGCGGCATTTTTGTTTCTAAAAGCTTTTTTTTTCTGCTTTATTCACTCCATCTCTGTGCAGTGGTTCCCAACTGAGCAGCTTTGTCATGGTTGATCCAAAGAGGGTTCAAGCTGCCTCCAGAGGTGCTCTCCTGTTTTATTCCTCCCCTGGCAGCAGATCAATAGATTAGCAGCAATGTGGGACCCGTCTCACCTAAATTGCTGTGTGAGAGGTGTATCTGTGGGGGATTTGTGACAGTAGAGCCCTTTAAATCCCTGCTCCTCAGTCTTCAGCTGGAATCTGCTGCCGTCTGACTGTATTAGACTCAGGATTCCGCTCTGCTACCATTTTCCAAACAATTTTCAAACCATTTAATCTCCCATTCTTCCATGTCTCCTTCTATCTGCCCATTGTCCATGATTCCTCTCTCACTTTGTCCATAGTGCCCTCTATAATGTCCCATCCCATTTATTCCCAGATCTTACACTCCGGCACGTTCTTTTTTCTTTATGCTCCACCTTTCTAACAACCATCAGCCACCTCTCCGGTTCATCTCATCCCTGTGGCACGTATCTATACGTCTGCCTACTCTCTCTGATTATATTTGTCCTAGCCTGCAAATCCAAGAGGTGGGCTGGAAGAAATCCCCAGTTGAAAAGGCCTCCTCTCCACTGACTGCAGCTGTCACTTGTCTGACTCACCGAGGTCCAAAAGTGCATTGTAAGATTTTCAATTATCATCAAAGCCAATGGGAGTCAGGTTCACGTATGAGGGGAATTTGGAGATCACAGGCAGATGCATGTACGTATAGACTTAGACATATTCTATTTAAATTGGTCAGAAAGACTTCATTATTATTTTCACAGAGCACAGGCACATTTTTATCTAGTGAATTGTGATTGTGTGTAGTGAATCAGAGGAAATTGACAACAAAAAAGAAGCTTTCGGTTGGCCATAAATGTGAGGAAGCAGGCAGGAGCCAGACGTAGCACGAGGGAGTCTCTCTTCAGGTGCAGGAAGTTTATTATCAAAACCCAAATGACAACAACTCAGGAACACAGAACACAAGAACACAGACAACATGGAGCAACGATCCCACAAAGACAGAGTGAGGGGGAGAGGTGTATACATACCCAGTGAACCAGGTGACACCAGTGAGACTGATGACAGAGACACAGGTGAGAGTGATCACACTGATTGAACAGCAGACCCAGGAGGAAAGGGAGAGAACATTGTTTGATTGCCTGGATCATCTCAAGTATGTGTTTCTGTTGTGATGGTCACCTGCAATGGATGACCTTACCAATCTACAGATTGTGTTGTACATCTAAAAATGATATAGTTTTATTGACATGGTGCATTGGTGCAGATTATATTGGGAGGCTTTAACATTGTATACATTTAAATAAGAAGTCAGTAAAAAATTAAATGTTAATGGGTTTAATTACTTTTTTATCTATCTATCTATCTATCTATCTATCTATCTATCTATCTATCTATCTATCTATCTATCTATCTATCTATCTATCTATCTATCTATCTATCTATCTAAGGTTTCAAAACAGCATTCAGTAGAGAATGAACAGTTATGGTTTTTATCAACATTTACACACCACTGCCCACTGACCTTCTGCTTTTTAAGGAGGAAAAAAAATAAACGGTTCCTAGACAGAATGAGTTGCTTAATCATTGTTTCGCTAAATCTGACACAATGTACCTTTTCCAACTTTTTGTAGGCACTTATTTCTGACAGTTGACATTTTCTTGAACTTGTTGTACCGCAGTAACACACAAGCCAAAACAGAAGCTTTTACTCAGACACTTGGATCACTCCTGGCTAGTCTGGGATCCTGCAGATATCCTGAGGGGCGGCTGTCACTCAGGAGTTAGTCTGTTGTCTACTAACCAGTAGATTGGTGGTTTTATCCGTCAGCTCCTTGGGTCCGTGTGCTGAATTGCTCCTGGGCAGCTGGAATTGGCTGCTATCACGACCCCTGATTAGAAGTGGAAATTAATGACAGGGCTGTGATAGAAGTGTCGTGATATTATGACAACAGAGATCCAGCTGTATATATGTGTGTGTTACCAACGTGTGTAAATACGTAAAGGGAAAATCTATAATGATTAAGTAATTCAAAGTGATGCAATGACTTAGAAAAAATGCTTCTAATTGACCTTCACTGTAATGATGGTTCAGCCTGTTGATGCACTATCACTTGCTTCAGTTTAATTTGATGGTGAGTCTGTTTCATGGGGATTGTTATACAATTGATTAGCATTCAATTGTAAATCAGCTCTTCACCCCACGGCTTAAAAGATTGGACGGATAATGAAAGACAAATTGATTCTTTTTTTTTTTTCATTTGGACACACATTTAATACTGCCCTGCAGTACACCTTTAATACTTCACAGATCTTAATGGGATTATATTCTCATCAAAGGATCAGAGGTGTAGACGTTTTGATTTAACACGTTTGGCATCACATGATAAGAGAATACACAACATGAATTGTTCGGTGTACCCTAATGGGATTATAGGAGTTAAAAATAATCACTGTTTTTCATAAATCTTTGCCAATCTCCTAGGCTAGCAAAAACATTCAAAGTTTAAAGCCATAATTAGTTTATGCTTTTGGCAGTGATGCAGTCATTAACTGTATAGATAGACAGATGAACTAACAGCTCTGTAGTGCAGAAGAGTTGTGCTCTACAAAGTACAGCAAATCCTACATATGAAAATCAGTGGGGGAAGTAAGGAGTTACATTTACTCTGTTACGTTTACTTGAAATGGTTTTTCAAAATAAAATACTTCTAGGAGTAGATTTATGAAGAAGAAACAGTACTCTTACACCGCTACATTAGGCTATACTGAGCTCGTTACTTTTATCAGATATACTGGGTAAAGCTTTAGCTATCCAGTATCCAGTTCTCTATTTGTCCATGATCCAGGGTCTCCACTTTAATTTTGTCAGAAGTAAACTTCCGCCCAAGGCTCTAGCGCGTGACAGTGTTTAACCAATAAAACGTAGCCCTAGCGGTGCGGTCTAGTAACGTGACCATACTCAATCTCAGCGGCGGGACGGGTTAGTTTAGCGGCTACTGCGGTCGATGTTTACCGTCTTTGATAGCAAGAAGTTGTAGAATTAACGATCGGCAATGCAGACAAAGACGAGGAGGCACACCCCTGGACTCATATTGAAATCATGTTCAATTTTTAAAAAAGTGCGGAACAGCAGTTACATCATGCGGTGACTTGTGTCTCCCAATACAAACGGATATTTCAGCATTCATAAACTTAACGTCTAACCTGAGGAAATAAGTAAGTTTCTTTTTTTTTTGTTATTTTGTAATTATTAAAATTTTGTATTATTTCATAGATTTTTTTATTATTGAAGTACTTGAATTTACCTAGTTCACATCAAATTTTAGTTTGTGCTTTTTTACTCTCATGCCGATGGGCGTTGACGCAAATTACTTAGGGAAAACCCAATTCACAAAGATGAAAACAAGTATACAGGAAGTTTTAAAAGAGTGGGAGAGTTTTATTTAATTATTTTAAAGGGAAGGAGCATCATGCGGCTCTTTGCAGTAACACGGTAAAAACTGTGGCTCTTAGCCTCTTGACTGGTTGGCCACCCCTGACTTATTTAAGTTTGGAGTTTGCAGTCTCATTCATTAGTGTTTCTATTAAAACATTAGTGTTTTAATAGAACATGATGCGAGTTCCCATTTGGAGAAAAATAAATGGTGATTTATTCTAGTCCTTCTAGCACCCTAGTCCAACAAATGCACAGAGACCCGAGTGTTTTATCCACATATCCATTTCCACTGCTCACTGGGGTGTGTGTGTTTTTTAATCCTGTAGGATTTGCACCTTTTTATTGTAGTTTCAACTAAACAGTCAGTGCTATGGTCTGTTTTCTGTGTGCTTTCTTATCCGGGCCACTGGCTTACCCAGTCATCTGTAAACATGTTGTGATTATATATGGGAATGTTTAAAGAAGGCTTAGGTTAGAACCCCAGATTGACCAATTAACCCTCGACCAGAACCTTGAAATGACACAGTCGGCCTGTCGCACAATAAACGTTTTAGTCAGATTATTCTCAGGGAAACTGTGGATTAATCACCATCATTCATTATTAAACAACAGCAGGTAGATGTATGTGTTTCACACCTGTTTCTGTTTGTGGTTGATCGAGATGATGAATTTATTAGGAAAGAAAAAATGACAAGACAACTATGCAAAGGTACAACTGAATATTTGGAGAGTTAGTTGTAATATTTTAGAAAAACTTTGACTGAACCTCATTTCTTTTCTATTGTGTTTGGTTTTTATGGAATTTTCTATTAAGAATTTCCTGAGGTCTTGCCTGTAAAACAGAGAAGTCCACCTTGTGGTAATGTCAAATACTTATGCAGGTCTACAGTTGTAAAGACCACTGCTGTGTCTGTGTCTACTGTGGCCTTTTTAACAGCAGCAAGGCCAAGAGCATTCAGAGAAAAGTGGTCGAAACCCAAACTGTATCACAGAGAACCACAGACACACTGGCTCACTTCATTTGACTGCCTCGTGGTCACATCTGGTCACAGAAATTGAACAAAAAAACTCAACACACGTACAGCTGTAGGTAGGATTTGAGTTGGAAAATTGAATTGATAACAATTCACCTTGTAGTTTCGTTCCTCCCTGGTCCCCGAAAAGTGTTTCTTTCCTTTCCCTGATCGCTTTCCATGAAGCAGACAATCAGTCAGCTTTATCGACGTGGCCAACACTGGTGTAACCTTGGTGCGGATTAGTCTGAGCCCACTGTCAGGCTCATGGGCTCATGCGATGTTATTCTTCAACCTTCAGGCAAAAACAACAAGGTCCTGCAGTTTGATCTCAGAGAAAAAGACCTACTCTGTCGTCCCAACAGCATTATTTCAGCTGTTCAGGCAGAGAACGTTCAACCAGGCATGTCTTTACAAACAGATTAAAACCACTTGTGCAATCAATTGAGTTTTCTATTTGGTAGTTCATTAACTTGAATTACAAGGATTGGTCAAAATGTCCAGTTTAGAGTTTTAAGTTGATGAACACTACACCAACAACTTCTTCTTTGAGGATAGAATCCTTTAAGGCTCCGGTGCCCGATGCCCTGGATTCTATCTCCTGTCTGTTAATTGCTCATTAGGACAGAAGACGTAGATTTAATCATCAGGAAGTTCAGCAAGTCTCAACTTCATTAGAGCAAATGTCCAAACTTCACAGAGACACACCGTGGCTGATGGTGTGTGTCTGGATGTAAAGAGCACCACTTGGCTAATTATTAATGCATCCCAAAAGAACTTTTAATGAGTGTTGTTTGTTTCTGCATGCTGTCTCCCTCCCCCTCTCTTCACTATCTCAACTGTGTTTGTGTGTTTAATCCCAGCATGACAACATGATAACTTGGCACATTATAATTGGGCTGCCTCTCTTGGACAGTATAGTTCTGCAGTGGTACTCCAAGCCATCTTTACACTTTCTTCCCAGTGGATGAATATTAAAGTTTGGCAAACAAAACACAGAACCCAAAAAAACACCGGAACCACAAGTACAGTAATTACTAGCTTGGGGACCAGTGACTAACTTTACTTACTTTGTTTTTACTTGAATGAACAATAAGTCTTTCTGTGTGTGTGTGTGTGTGTGTGCATGTGTGTGTTATTAAAGAAACTGTTTTTATGATAGTGTTGACGCACAGCAGCCTTTTTTTTAAGGAGAATAATTTGATTCACCAGTTGTAATCCCTGATTCCACCATATTGTCCTTGGTGTGTGCACAGGTTGTAAAAGTGATTGGTCAATAAGATTTGCCACTCTGTGGATAGTAATGCATTAGAGGAGTTTCCTTGATCATCATGTCAATATTTGAGAATTCTCATTTCTTTTAATCACACCTTTGGGAACATGGGATACCAGCCAAAAAAACAAAACCTTATTATCACTAGATATGTTATTTAACCTGCAAATATCTTCTTAAAATATTTAGGTTAATGTTTGCAGTACAGTTAGTTTTTTGTCAAGAAATATTTTTTTTATCAATGTCATGACTGTTGTTGTCACTTAATTTTGCGTCATCTGTTGCTAAGTGGAGTAGAGCAGATCATCCTTTGATGGGGAAACAACCTTTAAGTTTACATTAATGTCAACATTGCAGCCTGAAGGTGGATGTTAGCAACACAGTATACGATAAAATGTGTAATGGAAGCTCTTCTGCATGTAAATGGAGACAATTCAAATGGACATACTGAGTGAAAGGGACTCAGCACACAGCAAATGGACAGCAGTGATCATTAACCATCTGGGGAAAGCTAGTTAGATGTCCAGGTGTTTCCTGCCTCTATTCCATCCATCTGCTGGGATTAGATCCCATCACCGCCGCAGGTGAAGTGGAAACCGATGATTTAATGAATGTGCAGATCACGTCCACAATGTGGCCCCACATCTGGTCGCCCTCAAAGGACACACGTCTTCTTTCATTTACTTTAGTGTCAGTGGTCATATTAATCCTGTAAGAAAGCCTGTGTCCCACTGGCTCATCGGAAAACAAGGCAATTGTCTTAAAGACTGATTGCACTTTTCGGGGTTCCTAACCTTGGAATGAGCTGCCAAACGGTGTCAGAGGAGTGGTCTTCTCTACATTTAAGAACCTCTTGACGACTTGTCTCCCCTGAGCTTGTCTTGGCCCCTGACTACCCAAACAGCCCAAGATGCCTAAGTAGCACTTATACAGGGGGCATTTCTGCTGCTTCTTTATTAAGCTTAGGTTTAATTAGATGTCGACTTGATCTAGAGTGAATTGAAATTCTAGCACTGTCCCCAGTGGGAAGTCACTTTGAAAAAGGAAACCTTGCCAAAAGTAAGGGATAAACTTGAACAGGGAGGTGTGACGGCGATTGATTTTAATTAGAAAACATGGAAATTAATGGGACCTGGTGCTTCCAACCCTGCTTCCAAAAAAAAAAAAGCATGCAACTGTGTTTGCACTTGGCTTTCACAAACAGTCTAGAGAAAAACTAATGGAAGAACTGAAGGACACAACAAGGTACTTTGTACTGCTTTCAATGGGGTTGTCAGCTGCGAAAAAGTTAGAGCTGGAGAAAAAAGGTGACACTAATTGGAACAAAAAGTCCATATCGTTATGAACAAATACAGTGCTGTTAGTAAAACCCCAAAATGGTAGGATTTAGAAACATGGTAAAAGTTGGTTATTTTCAAAGGGTTTTATGGCTGCAACTCAGAGAAAAACAGAAATCTTTTTTTTTAATTTATTTTCAGCTGAATTTTCAAAACCTCCTCCCTCAAGACAAAAAAAAGTCATGAATGCTTTTTCCTTTAACCATAAATACTTTAGGTGCTGTCAACAACAGAAGTCTCTTTTGTGGTAGCATCAGAAAGGGCTGTGTAGAGATTGTTGTTAATAACTCAATATGCTCCTCTACTTATTAATTCTTATTCTTGTATAGCAGATTTTGACATGTGTGAGAACTGGCCAGAGGTAGAAAAAGCAGACATTGATTATGGCTGAATTCTAATAGCGTTTTATCTCATTAAATAGAGGAATCGGCCTGAAGAAAGATGTTGTTGATAATATGCGTTCACTTTCTCACGGTTAAATTGGTTTTCGCCCTATTAAAGGTGAATAACTCAATTATAATATTAATTATCATTAAGCACTAATGCCTTAATTGCATTTGCATTCTCTTTTTGAACGGGCTTTTATAATGGACTGGTGTTAATTAGGAATTATCGACTTCACTACTAGCCCGTGCAGAGGTAATGAAAATGAATGTGACGCATTTTGATTTTCCTACCTGCACTTTTAAATGTCAATGTAAAAATACAGCAGTAACATTTAAAATCTATCCCATTAATCACGTTTTTTTTCCCCCTCTGTCTGTCTCTGTTCTCTTCATTTTGTGTGTGTGTGTGTTTTTTCTCTTCCAGTGGTTGTCTTGTATTTGCAGGCTGTGGGAACCAAAGAGTGGAGGGAGGTGAGTTCAAATATTCGGTATTTTATGTTCTCCTGTCAGTGCAAGCATCTTCATTTTTAAAGCTTTATCATCAGTGGTAGCTTCAACCTACTCCCCCTGTTTTATGAATAGCTGTGGAGAGTTATTAGCGCTGAATCAAACGATGACTTACTGCAAACCCATAGGAACACTGTAGAAAATTCAGCCTCCTCACTTGTTCATACAGGTGTAATCACACACAAACACTTTGGTTCAGGTAGGGATAAAATATATATACGTATATATATATTTATATATATATGTATATATATGACCACAGAACTGACCTCAGCTGCAGAATTAACTATTGAGGTTAGAGAATGAATAAATAAAAAGAAAGAAGTCTGGTTATATATCAGCTTTTCAATGTCAAACAAAAGGAATTTACATCAACCCTCAGAGTCTCCTTTCGGGTTTGGTTAAATATTCACCATCTGCTCTCCCAGACCTCTTGCTGTCTTATGCTCCGATGCTCCTCTTAAAAGCAGGGTCACATGACCCTTCATTTATAACCAACATCTTTTTTTTTGTCCTGGTTCCTTCACTGTCCCTTTCAGACAGTGTTTTTCTTTATCTAATTTGTCAGTGACATCTTGTCCTCAGCTGGTATATTTACCTAATAACAAACTCAAAGTCAACAGCGATGAGTTGATCCTCTCACTTCAAGATACCTCACACCTTTTTTAGCTGTGTGACAGCCCTTAATGAAAAACACGGCGTGAAATGTGCTACAATCAGCAGAGCAAACATATCACTGCCAGCGTATCATGGCACCATGAGTAGAGGCTGAATGTGATTTAACATCCTGGATACGCCACATCTGAATATGAACAGCATAGGTTTCTTAATGAAGGTGAATCTTGTTTTTTCTCTCCAAAAGTGGGAACACTTTTTAAAAATGTGTGGAAAAATTGAGTCAAAATACATACAGTTAGACTGTATGTATTACTTACTTAAAAGCTAAGTATGTTTCCAGAAATGCCAAGGTGGTGATTGTTACTTGTTTTGGTTTGATTTAAGAGAAACAAAAGTCTTTCAACAGGTTTCAACAAACAGTGGTAATTCTAGCGTCTGTGAAGGTCAGATCATCAATTATTTATGAATAAATCTACGTTTTGACAGTTTTAGGATGTATTAAAGAAATAATTTTTAATTTCTTTTTGATGAAATAATACCACTTGCAGCCAGTGTCTGGTGTTTCTGACGTCCAAACTCTCATTTATTCTACCTACATGTGCAGCAACACTGTGGTTTGTCAAAGGTTATTGCTATTTTCTGTCATCTTTTCCAGCCATTTATTGTTCCAGCAGCATCAGGCTGTGCACTAAAATTGTTTCCTGATCACAAGTGCTTTCATTTTTCCCAGCCAATAGATATCATACACCATTTCCCGGCTCCTACCAATCATCTGTGGTGGCAGGGGAAGATTACACTGGGATTGCACTGTCTGTGTTGTTACATGCTTTGCAACCGATATGAACCAAAAATAAACATCTGGTCTCAGTGGCATTTAGAGAAGAACGGAATGTGGTGATGTTGGTTTACAGTTCGTAAATGAAAATGGCCAAGAATTTTTGAATTTGGAATGAAACACATTAGTTAATTACAGTCTCCCATTAAAAGAAAAACGAGAGGAAAAAGAGAGGGTACTTTTTCACACACCCTGAGCTGAACATCAATTGCATGTGGGTTTTTTTTTTTTTTTGCACTTTTATTATTCCTGAAGTCCCTTTACAAAATTGATATTACGCATATAATATGTTTTTCAATAAAATGCACTTTTCCTGACTCTTCTGTAGGTTTAAAATATTTCCTAGCAACAGTCTGTTCTGCCTCTGACAATCCTCCTCAGTAATATAAAATAAATAAATATATGGTACTGTGTGTGCAACAGAGAATCAAAGCATGACCATGATCAATAAAAACCAACAATGGAACTAATTTGATCTGCTGCGTCTTTGAAGAAGGCAGACATTTTGGATTTTATGACCGTGATGGAGAGAGGGTGACAGTAGTCGTAATTTCTGGAAAATAAAATGAAACAGGTTTCAATTATTAGCACAAAACCATTTCTATTAAATCTCAACACATTTTTTTTCTTGTCAAAATAAATATTCTTTCAGTACTAGTATTAATTAAGTAATTATTTTCTATTAATTTGGATCAGCTAGACCTTGTCGAATTGTAGAGGTTGTGCTGTACTGTGTGTTTACTCTAAGGAGTGGTGTAAAAGTACTTGATGTTGGAGAGGTTGTGCAAGGGAGGGAATGGCTCGAAGTCAAATGATGGCTGCAGGAAAGAATGAGGTTAGGACAATTTTACTGCACAGACGGACAGATTGGGTCACGGTTTTCACTGATGATGTAATCTGCTGTAAGACCAGGAAGGAGAACCCAGACATCTGTGAATGTCTAGAGTGAAGTGGCACCAGAGTGAAGGAGAAAATGCATTAGCAGAAACACAAAGTCGTGGTGTCTATAGGAGCTATGTGTAGTGGAAGTATAGAGTATTAACCCTCAAAACTAGTAGAAAAAGTGATGTCTTAAAAGAAATACACATTAATACACACATCTTGATTGACCTATATATTGTTAGATACCTTGGCAATAGGGAGCTTGTGGTCGTTCTGACCCATACGTCATACGTCTTAGAACAATAACAGCCACACCTACAGGGCATGCCACTGCAGCCCTTGACCAAACTATCAAATAAAATGATCATACATAGCATTACAGAAACAGACAAAACAACAAAGGTGCCACAATGCTGTGGCACCTTTTAACCAATCACACCTGAGTTAGGTTGTACACAAAGAGCTACAAACCCTAATAATAGAAACACTAGAGGGAAATATCCGGGGATTTTCCCTCTGGGTCAATACAGCAGGTAGGTTTCAAAGCCTCCGTAATGGATAGGCAAGATTATGTGCACTGACCACTAAAGACATGAGTCCAGGTATTGAGGCGAGGGTGAGGCAGTGCCAAGATCAATAGCTCATTACACCATGCTGTCAGGACTGGGCCTCAGAGGCGAGGCTGGCAGTCCACTGGGGGGATTACCGGGCCGATTGTCAAAGAGATGGAGATGCAGCCAAGTCCAGGAGGGAGGCCGCAGCTGGGACTTCAGGGGCTGACAGGACCGAGCCCTGGCTTTATTGTTGCTTAAAATGTGGGAGTCTGATTTCTTTGGGGGGACACATTTTAACACACAGAGAAGAAATGTTTACAGTGCGAGTAGAAGTGCAGCCTCCTGGGTTTTATCACTCGTGATCAATAACTGCTGTTGAATCTCATACATTTCTGTCTTTAATCAATTACATAAAGAATGCATTGATTTTTCTTTTTCTTTTAAATGCTTGTATTACCACCAATTACTACCTTCCTTATATATTTTTTTATTTGCAGTTTGGCCGAACCGAAGTAATAGATAACACCCGCAATCCAGATTTTGTCAGGAAGTTCGTCCTGGATTTCTTCTTTGAGGAGAAACAAAATCTGAGGTTTGATGTGTAAGTAGCCCCACCGTTACTCTAGAATCTTTTTTTTTTTTTGTGAATAAATGTTGGTTCTTTTGAAAATAAGTCCTTTTTGCTGCACCTGAAGCACAAAACGGTCCTGATTACATTTGAATAATTTCTACCTCTGCAAGTCTTCATCTTGGGGAAAAACTCATTTTCACTTATTAAAATCAAAAAAGCCGGTCGTTGCTAAAATGTCCAATCATGAAGTCAAACCAACAGCTCTACACCAGGTGGTTCGAATGCTTATTGGTGTTTGAAAGTTTGTTTCGTGAAGAAAATACCAAGTTACGCAAATTAATCTCAAATTTTAGATCAGGAAGTTGGCATTTTGACTAATGCATTTATGAAAATGGTTCACAATGTCAGAGTAACTTCTGTACATAAATATATATTTAGACAATGTGACTCTGAGGGACAGAGGTAAATACACCATGAGGTTACATCCTCTTTTCCAGGCAACATACGCAACATTATTTCCAAATCCTGTTACATCAGGAAACGCCCATAATGTTGCACTTTCATTTTTTTTTTCTGGGAATGACAATAAGAAAAGTGCAGCCATAAAAATTTGAAACAAGTCCAAGGTAATAAATCAGGTGTTGAATAAATTAAATAGCTTGTGGCTTCCCAAAATGTATGCAGAAAAGTGAGTCAGCCAAAACAGAGCCGGATATTAAAACTATTTCAAACTTTTACCTATGAGTTAGCCAAATCTCAATTTACAAAATAGATACAAAATTGATTTTAAAGTGTAGCAAAACAATTACCAAAAAAGATAGGGGGAAACCTTAACATTGACAGCATGATACAGAATTATGGTACAACAGACTATACTCTAATAAAAGCCAAGGTGATTAAAAGTAAGTTGTAAAAGGTATTTCTTTAAAAAAGTTCTAACAATTGACCCAGCAAAAGGACCCTGAAGTATAAACCTTATTATTGTTCGTGAGCAAAGTGTTACTCAAAAAAGCTTGTGAAGGATATGAGACAAGAGAAAAGTGTCTGTAATTGTTTTTGAAAGTGAGTGTTTTTTGGAGTTTCAGGATGACTCAGTGAATCTCAGAATGTTATTGTTGTTGTTCCTAATTGCTTGTGCTGCTATCTTTCAAGTACCTCCAAGCTCATCACTTCTTTGTTTTCTCGCAGGTACAACGTGGACTCCAGAAGCTGCAACATTTCCAAACACGTAAGAACACTACACTGTTCCCAGATGACGTCTGTTCTCAGACCTGACAAGCTGCATTAGGCGTGAAATCTGTCACGTTGTGGATTGTGTTACACATATTGTTTGCGGGTGAATGAGTGCAGCAGCCACTTAGGATGATTTAGGATAAGTTAAACAGTCTCTGATTGATGGTGACTCCCTAAATCCCTCTAATGATGCATTTTGTTTTTGTCTTTTCCAACAAATGAATCTCACGGGAGAACAGAAGGTGAGTGGTTTATATGCAGATCGTCCTGTCCTCACGAGTCCTGCCATTACACCTCATTCATTTCACTTCATAGTCCATTTCACAATATTTCTGTGGCCCAACAAGTGGCTTTATTGTGTTTGATTCATTTAAATGTTATTGTTTTTCCCCCCATTCTTTTATATGATTCCATCAAGGACAAACACCAACGATTCCCTCCTGGAAAGCTTCCACCATTGTCTCGGTCATCATTTTGTCTTTCTCTGTTTATCAGTCGTTCAGGTAAAAAGGAAATTGTGTAACGTGACTTCCAAATTAAAAGCATCTGTTTTCATCTGACACAGTCCACACACAGCAGATTGTGCACTTTTCTGGGATTTGCACGTACACCTACACACTCTCAGTAAAAAACATGCACCGCTTTTGCCTTCTTGCTGTGCAGAAGTTTTATTATCAGGCGTCATTTCCCTGTTTTTTTATGTCCACATATGGGTTTTTTCAGTGGTGTGTGGGCTGGTTGTAAAGTACAAGATGTGTTGATCAGTGAAAAAGCTGTTTAAAGAAATAAAAGGTGTTTCTTCCTTTTTGTGAAGAGAAAGGCATTTTGTCTGAATATGTGCCTATATATGACTGATCAGTTAATGAACACACACAACGAGAGGTCTTTGTTGGAGCGAGGGTTCTGCCCAGACAGCTGCAGGCCAAGGTATAAAAACAAAAAAAATACTACTGATATGTTCAAAAAAATTATTTCTACGTATATAATTTTATATATACACACATATATGTGTGTGTATATATATATATATATATATATATATATATATAAATAAAAAAAACATAAGGAAAGACCTCCACTAGGCTTGTATTACGTGATGTATGGTCTATTTCTGGATATCTTCTTTATCGTTAAAGCCTTTTTTAGAACAAGCCCCTGCAGACTCTCTCTTCGGTCCGATATGCAATTATTTTCTCTTTTCTATCATTTTCCCCTTAAGGACTTCCTAGGCCAGACCTTCTGCACCCTTGGAGAAATCATTGGCTCGACAGGAGGGCGAGTGGAGAGGACCCTCTCGTAAGTCTGACAGTATTCCAACATGCCGTCCATTGTGTCAGGGAGAAATTACTGCGAGGTTTTATGCCTGTGTGCCCACAGCAGCACCTGTGCGACGAAGCATTAAGCTTTAATGTCGTCCTTCTGTCCATCTTTTTCTCACTAATGTGATATCTGAGGAACACCTGGGGGTGGGTTTCATTACACCTGGAATATATTAATATTTGGAACTTTTTAGGATGATGAGATTTTTCGTTGCAATCAAGGGTCACCACCGTGACCTCCGTATAATTGACTCTTCACAAAGTGAAATAAAAATCGTAACCGTTGACCTTTTGAAGGTGTGAAACCTCTAAAGTGACTATAACATTTGGAGTTCCTCAGGGAGCAGTTCTTGGACCCTAGACTAAAAGACTAAAAATAACTCCTGTACATTAATACTTTAAGTTTATCGACTGAAGACACAACTTTCCTCTAACAGTCAAATCATATCACTCAGCAAAACAGAGTTCTATCAACCTATGTAAGAACGTTTCCAGCATACAAGCTAAACTTTATATGTGCAGACCTTGCTTCACTTTCTGAATTAGTCTGATGTGTTCTTTCAAATAGACTTCCCCCAAAAAGCATTACACAGCTGCAGCTCATTCAAAATTGAACAACAAAGACCTCAGAGCACATTACCAAAAGTTCTTAAGTTCTTTATACTGGCTTCCAGGGAGTTGCATGTTTTGATGCACTTCTTTTATGCTCAGCACATAGAGCCCTGTGTGAACTACGCTGTAAAAAAAACCCATGCCATTATGAATAAATGAGAACCTGCAGAGATGTGCAGCCGCTAAGCAGTTTTATTGTGTAAACCTCTTAAATTCCATAAATATCAGGGGGGTTTTTTTAACATAAAAGATTTCTTCAGTCAGGCAGAATAACTTCCTGTCTTTCTTGTTTCCTGTCTCTCACTGTTAATGAGGGATGCTAGTTTAAAATGACCCAATAAGGCAGAGTTTTACAAGCTCATGCAGTTTAAAAACCTTACTTGTTGTATTGTCAGATTACAGCAACGCAGATCAGGTTTGAATATTGCCACACAATCACCCACGCTTCAGAGATGGGGAACCAAGTCAACGTGTGACTCGACTTGACTTGATACAAACTGTATCATTTGTTCAGAGTAGATTTTCCTTAGTAAAATATCATTGGACATGATTCAGCCTTGGTCCAACTCAGTTGTTGTATTTCTTTGGAGTGAAATTATTCACAGTATTCTAAGGAGAGAAGGGGAGGTGAACAGGGAGAGAGAGAGAGATTTAAGGTTGAAAATGTCATAAGCCAGCCTCTAAATCCACTTTATTGCGAGGGAACAGTGAAGACCTTTGTCCACCAATACACAGTGCCGTAGAGAGACTGTTCCTCACCTCTGAAGGGCTTCTACTGTAGTAATTCTCTCTTCAGTTTTCAACATCAAGTGAAACAGACGTGGTACAGTATCCCATGATCAAGCGTGGCATGGATTTTCTCTTTAGTTTGTTCCTCAGAGTGAGTCAGAATTATGTGGTTCAAGATTTGTTTACATCAGGTGGGAGGAAGAAGACTTTTAAATAAAACATCCGTAGCCAGTAAGTGACCTTCTTGTTTTTTTTATTTTCTACTATGGCCTAGTGATCTAGATTCAAACATAGATGCAAACCCCACATGGAGCTGGTGCACGTCTATGAATGAGCGAGAGAGGAGCTATAGGAGCCGTGAGAATCCATGACCTATTTCCTACTGTCACATGGGTTTGATGTACTTTTTCATGTTGTACGACTGGGACCATAAGGATTAAATAAATCATGGGGTTGTTAGTGTTATAATGTGGCTGTGATTCCACGGGAATCCCATACGGGGTGTTGAAAACCCCAACGTTTTAGTGTAAAGGACTGTCTTTCCGTATGTATTCAGATCTCATTGTACACATTCACACCAAAGTTGATCTGTCAGTCAGTTTTAATCTGATGGTGGCATTTTTTAACTTTCTCAGACATTTGTTGTAGAAAATCAGTTACAGTCCAAGATTTTTGGTCCTAGTTAGGCCTTGGTTCCAAAACTTTTTTTAGCTTTGTATTTCAAAGCTATGTAGTGGATTTTTTCAACATTTTGCCTCTAAGAAAATACTAGCAGAGCAAATACCACTCGGATGTAATTAGACTTTAAGTCGGGTCTGAAAGCAATAAAATGCAAAAATGTTTGTCATTAACCCCTTAAAGCCCAGAATACTGTATAAACCCCCCCACAATTCTAAATGAGATATTTATTAAATTATAACATTTTTTTAAAGCATTTTTACCTTGGAAAGTGACTCAAATGTATTCTCTCCATTACTGCCAGCCATTTCAGTCAGTCTTACCCCATCATTTTTTCCAGCGACAGCAGAGCATAGCAGTGAGACACAACAGTCGATAATTTATTTGATTTCATTTGCCTGCAGTAATTTAATCAGAAGAAATCACATAACAAGTCCACGGGGTTTCAAACCTCCATTCCACAGTGTTGGGCTCTGGTGACTGATACTGTCACCAGGCTGTGCCCATGGCTGAGTCACCTTGTAATATCTTGTGGCAAACCATTAGCCTGGTATTAGGAAATGACTTCTTATTGCAACTTTTTTTTTTTTTTTAAACAAGCATTTAACTTTGACAAGTTCACTTTTTCCTTACTGAAATTATTTACACCTTCTATTACGTTTGGCTCCAACCTCCCCCACAGTTACCTACACTGGCTGTGACAGGTTTATGGTTATATTTAAACTTCACAAAAGCACCTTTAGCATCGCTCACGGAGGTTAAGCTCGACGAACAGCAACAGAGTTGGCTTTGAGCACATCCCAGCATAATTAAAACACCTGTGTCTGTCAAAAGTCTGTGAGACACAGTTACTGACTAAATGCTGTCCCGCTCATGGTGCTATTTAGCATTTTGGCTAGTTTTGTTTTACAGCCGTCCCCTGCCAATAACAGGGGTTCACAAAACTTATCGTGCACAAACAGCCACCTCTGCTTCTCTCGCAGCCAAAATGCCACAGTGCTGTGAAAGCAACAGAGCAGGTTGGCATTGTTTAAAGATGTAAGTGAACGTGTTGCCAGTGCATTGAAACACACAGGGAATATTCAACAATTCAAAGCTCGGTTGAAATCAAAGATACATTATTACTTTGAAAAACAGCATTTTTTAAATCATACTTTGCAGCCACGATTCCTCGTACTCACTGAAACTTGCCAAAGGTTATTTGTGATTTATAATCTCTCCGCGATATCCGTTATTGAAACTCACCTTGAGGGGACAAGTGAGAAAAGTGACTGGAAGGAAAGGGTAACATACAATAAGAGCCCTGTCTGAAGGACTTAAAGAATAAATCATTCTCTGATTAATGGAGGGAAGTGGAGCTGACAAAGACGCTGATGTGGATTCTTCAACTGCCGGAACTATCTATCAGTTTAATGCAGGGTTGTGGGAAAGCAGTTAGAATTTGTCCAAATGAACGTTGATGTAGCGGAACGGTAGAAAGTGACAGGGGAAGGGGTTTAAATACCAGGTGTCAACTGTGAGGACGGGGTGAATGGAGATGAGTGTCAGAGGGGACGTGTGACAGAAAGAGACAACAGTGATACCTGCAATGATGTATGTAGCTCTGTCTAAAAGACATGAAGCTGAGCTGGAGGAGTGAGATGAAGGTGCGGAGATATTCATTAGGTGCATTAGGATGGGCAGGACTAGAAAATAGGCAGGTTAGAGGAACAGGTAGGATTGTGCTGATTGAAGTCATAGGAAGAGGGATGAGTGGATGCTCACTGACTGTAACATAAAGCTCTGGTGTTAGTGGTTAGTACTGTCAGTGAGAATTTGAATGCGACAATGACATCCACCATGTCTACTGTAGGTAAAACTGCCAAGGAGACGGTTTTTATGTCAAGCAGTAGAACTAAGTCCTCTATATGAGCTCAAAATGTCATTCATTGTTGCAACGTAACATAAAGTTCTTAGCAGAGATGCACACTGTGCCTGTCTGCTCAGGTCTTACAACAGGAACAGTACAAAGAGCTATACAGGTTAGTTTTTTTTTATTGTTTTTGTTTTCTTTTGCTTCACTGTGAGCATTTATTTGAGACTTTGTTTCCATCTGTTATGCAGATGACAAAAAATGCATCACTAAATTCTACTCTACTAAATATTACTGAACTTTCAAGCTGAGGTAAATTTGATGAGCTGTTGTGATGTTGTGACCCCAACAGTAAAATTAGGGTCACTGCAGACCAACTGTCTCAGAGTGAGACAGCAGATTGAGGCGGGTAATGATTCTCAGAGAGTTTATCATCTGTAGCTGTGCCATCACATTCAAATGCTCACCTGAGGCACAGTTAATCCCAGATATTGATTTATTCTACCAATAAAGGTTTACTTGCATTAAGAAATGCCGTGGTTTTCAAAGATTTCCCATGAACCCTACAATCACCTATTTTTAAAATTCAAATATCATGAAATGCTTGAGGCAGAAATACCCAGTGGCCTCAGCCTGCCTTAAAAAAAAGGAGCTTCAAAGAAAAAGAACAGCCGATATAAAGTGATGTGAACCAGACAGTACAGCAGAGATGTGTCGTTGCCACACTACTCCCTAATGATTCCTCCGCACGCCTCATGTCCACGGTTTTGTCATGAAGACACTTAACTCCACCACTCCTCCACCTCTACCCGCATCCTCACTTTACCTCTCCACCTAGCAGAGTGGTTTGCTTTTGACAGCTTAAAAGATTTAGTGGGAAAAAGGAAAAGTATAAAGAACCCAAAAGAGAAGCATTTTGGAGAAGTAGATGAAAACGAAACGAACCCTGACAGAATGAAATCAGTATTTATTCTATATGGTCAGTGTCTGTGATGACTGCCTGCAGGGAACAGACAGCTGTCTGCAGCCTCCCATAGATCAAACAGAGAAGGCCCACGGGGTGGGGGAGAGAAACAGGAGGATGAAGATAGAATGGGAGGTGAAAG